TAGTGAAACTGAAACGTAACATATAATTTTTGAGTCAAATCTAAAATAAAATAGTGCTGGATTAGCATGTTAAGTTACGCCTAACAGGTTGACTTGACCTGTTAAGCATGACTTAATAGGCGTGACGATAATCTGGAATGGCCAAGAGGCTTACTAGCATAACAGCAATATAACAAGAAAATGTGCGCTGGCCATCAAAAACATGCTCTGAATAAACTCGGAGATTCACCCGTTTAAAACTCACTTCACTTAAATTTAAATTTACATCCTGGCGAGAAAATGTCTGTGTGTGTGGGGGGGGAGGTAGGTTGAGGAGTTCAGGAAAGGTATCAAACTTAAAATAAATTTGTTATGCAAAATAAGGGAAACCCTACTTCTTTCCTTGCCAAAATTTAACTATTGCATAGCAAGGCTTTAAAAGCCTGGATAAGATATTTAAATTCAAAGTCTAAATCTGAGTCAACCTTTACAGTCTTAATCTACATCTTGACTAAATTTAAGGTAGGGTTTACAGGCGCTAAATGTGGCGCATAAATACAATATCATCTTTAGAAATTCTTGTCTTCTCTCCTTCCATGTATCTGGATGGAAAATAGTTTAGTACAGTCAAAAGTCATTAATTCGGACACCCATAATCCGGAATGATCTATAATCTGGACCTCAAAGCTACAAACTTTCTGCGCATGCGTCGGGTTGACGCATACACATAAGACCTTTACGGCTGCGAATATGCGTGTGTGTGCACAAAATACGTTTACGAATGCGCGTTTAATGTATAACAGACGGTATAAGCTAAGCTAAAATTATCTAATTCAGTTAATGTTGCAGATTGCGTTGTTCCTTAATCTTCGAATTGGATTCGGCTTATTATTTTTTGCAGACTGTTAGAGCAATTTTATAAAAGTAAGCTTGAACTTTTGATTATGTCAAATAGAATTTCTGATATGTATTTACTAATATGTAAAGGATCTACAAAGTGAAAGTATGTTTCGAAGTCCATTAAACAAAAAGTGGAATTGCTGCAAAAAATGGATAAAGGCTTATCCTTTGTTTATCTAAACTTTATCTTTAACGCCGCGGCGCCGCGCAATGAATTGAAAGTTCATCTGTCAGCACTATCCTTATCTTCAGAGCAGATGTTTTTATTTTATTTGGCTTATAATTCCTTACTAAATGTAGTATTTCATCTTGATGTACTCCGTCTCTAATATGATTTAAATCAAATTCCTTGTCATTATAATTCGCTTCCGATAGCGAAGAAAGTGACAGAGGTTATTGAAAACGAAAAAATCGATTGACAAATTAGTCAGTATTCTTGACACAGCAATTATAGGACTTGAACAGCAGAACTTTGTAACTGAACAAGAAATTATGTCTGTTTATAGAATTAAAGAGAATGTATTATCACATAAACAACGAAGCAACTTAAACAACTTACATTGAAAGAAATGTTTAATAAAGTAAACAAATAAATATTAAGCTTTTTTTTTTTTCTAAATTTTGATACCCTTTAGATCATAATTGTTCTTTATTTCATAAATTGTGGTTTCATATTTTTAATTTTATAATTTCTGCATGCCATCTTACCAGATTTAAACTGATGATCTATAATCCGGAATCGCCGAAGTCCCAAACGAGTCCGGATTAACGACTTTTGACTGTACTGTGCTTTGTCATAACTTACAATGCCACTACTTTCAACATTTTTACACTGTTCAAACTTTCTTACATGGGTGTACATTTACTCATTTCAATCTTTCTACCCACATTGAGACTCCCCCTTGCTTGCATTGTGTACTGCAAATGTGAGCATGCTTTATGTAAAATGACTGGCCCGACATCTTACTGACTGCCCCCACATCTACTTGTTAGAATTAGATCAACTAGACCTAGATAGACATCCTACAATCAAATTTCAGATTGAGGTTCTAATGCTAGTGAAAATTAACTTAGTATTGGCTTGAGAGCCTAACATTTTACTTTGTAGAGACATTAGGTAATTTTTGGAAGCAGACAAGATGAAAAATTAGCAATGCCTTCGCTGGGAATCGAGCCACGGACCTCTGAAATACAGGCTCAGTGTGCTGACCAGTACATCACGAAGGCACGCTAGGGAAGCGGGAGAAATACCTTATATACTCCCCTTTTTAAAGGGCGACTAGTGTCTTAGGGGACCTAGTCGCCAAATCCTGGGTGTGGAGATTCATCATCACGACCCTTTTTAGTTCGGGTGCCACTGTAGCTTCCAGGCAAATTGGAAAAGTCAGAGAGATGAAAAATTAGCAACTGCCTTCACCGGGAATCGAACCGCGGACCTATGGAATACCGGCCCAACTTGCAGACCACTACCCCACGTAGGCACGCTAGGGAAGCGGGAGAAATACCTTGTAACTTTACATTCATTCTAAATTAATTTTTACTTTCTTTTAGTACAATTCACAAGTAACTTAGACTACTCTTTAATTCAAGGCACATGTTTCAAGCATGCAACATACTTTAAGCATTTAGCAACTCAAACATTTTTACATAAATAATTTTTTACTTTACTCAGCTGAAACTAACCTCAAATTAATTACATGCAACAAATTTCTAAAAAAAAAAAATTGAGTAACGAAGTTTGTTTTCTTGATACCATACAAACATTTTCCCCAAACAGTCTCTATGACCAAAGTTAACATTTCGTTCTAAATCTGCCGAGATTATTTGCTTAAGTTTCTTGCTTCATATAAATACTTACTTAATACAAAAATTTTTAAATTGCAGAACATAAAAATTTTTAGCTTCTTTCTAAATATAAAATTGTAAGCTTCTTGGCTTAATACAAAATTGTAATTTTCTTGCTTAATTAAATAACCATTGTCCACTTCCTGAGCAAAACTGAAATAAATGTTTTCAACCAACTTTGCACTAGCTTTAAAATAACTTTAAATAAAATAATTTTGACTTATCTTTTGCTTGGCAAATTCCATCATCCTTTTCTTTATGAAGTCTTCCTAAGAAGGGACTTAGTTCAACTGTCTGACTCAGATCCTCTGCTTGGGCTGGCCGTTCCTATTGCTACCCATTGCCGGCTGTTTGCATTTCAGTCCTCTGTCCCAAGCTACCTTCTTGTGATGTTGCTCCACTTCTGCCTGAACTGGACGCTTGCCGGCTGCAAAGTCATATCGTATGCTCGCTCTCCATTGCAGTCCTTCACTGTACTCGGTCAACGTTTTGAGCATGTGCATTTGGATATAGTTGTGCCCTTGCCACCTTTGCAAGGATACTTGTACTTTTTACCCTTATCGACTGATTCTCCCAATAGCCGAAAGCAATACCAGTGAAGGATATTTCGATGGAAAATGTCACTCAAGTGCCTTTTTGCCCATTGGATTGCTAGGTTTTGAGTTCCCACTAGCATAAGTACTGATCAAGGCTGACAATTTGAGTCACACATGTTCTTCACTCTTAATAAAGTTCTTGATGTTTACCAAATTTGGACTTCTCCATACCACCCTGCAGCTAATGGATTACTTGAGAAATTGCATGGTTCGCTAAAACAAATGTGAATGTGCCATAATAATGTTCAGTAGATAGTGAGCCTTCCAAATGTATTCCTAGGTCTTTGAGCAACATATAAAGAAGATATGGCAGTAATTTGCTGCAAAATGGTTTACGGAACGACTATCCCTCTCACTGCAGAATTTTTGCAACCCACCCAAGTTTTTAATTATTCCAATCCAGTTTCATGAACGTGGAGAAAAGTTGGGTTTGAACATTAAAAAATAAAGTAATATAAAGGTGTTTTCATTTACTGATGGAATGTAGATCTTAACATCCTAAATGTGAATAATTTTAAGAGTGTTTAATTTTTTTATTAAAACTTTCAGAAATCCTGGAAAAGATAAGAAAAATAATAAAAAGTTTCAATCGAAGATATCCATAGAATTTTTGGTATTATTCCGTTTTGAGGACTGTAAAAAAATTGCAGCGAAAATGTATGCACAAAAGTGCCAAATCTAGCAAACATGCCCAACGGCATGCCAAATCTAGTGTACGCGCTGATTTCAGATCGCGTAAGTTTATATAGTTCTATATTTCTTAAAATGCCATTGAAATACTAGTTTAATTTTTAAATCCTTTTTTGATATCCTATGGATTTAACAATTTGGGAATTGCCATGACGAAAAGTCTGCAATAGAATTTTGGGTAAAGTGCAGAATCACCCACTGCTTGACGCGTTTTTAAGAATTGCATATACTCGGTATCTATGTACACATCGACCTATTTTCACTTAAAAAAAAAAAAAATCCCAGAATTGCACAAAAATGGCACTGCGCACACCCTTGACATTATCTATGTACACATTGACCTATTTTCACTTAAAAAGTAAAAGAAAATTGTCAAAAATCCAATTGTTTTTACCTTTGTAAAAAGCGGCGAACAAATAAGTGAGCGATTCTGCACTTTCCCGAGAATATTTTCAAAGAAAGGGCATCGTTCATTATAAAAAATTACGTTCGAACAACCAACAAGATGAAATTATGCTTTAGCGATAAGTCGGTAGCGAAATAGCAATGCAGGCATCCATTCAGTTATGTTTAGCAATTTTTATATAAATTATAATAATGATCCGAAATAGTTATTTACTCTTGTGCTTCCATTCAGTCATGTTTAGCCTTTTTCATATAAATTATAATAATAAAAAAGTGTTATATGAAATTAACCTTTCATCTAAATTAAAACAACATCAATCTTAGATAGTTTATTTACTATTATACTTCCTTTCTTGCCGCAATTATTTTTGGCAGCATTGGCATCAACAATAGTTTGGCGATTTTTTACGGCCCTCGACACCGAATAGTACTATTTGTTTTTATGCTTAAGGAATGTTAAATTATCTGAAAGTTATGGACATTAAATGTTTTAAACGTTCATTATTTTTTTTTATATGCTGTTATATATCCTATTATATTTTTGTTTCAAGTTTTATAAACAGTGCTGTCTTTTCTATTTTTTAGTAAATTTCTAGTATATGTGTGCCTCCTTCTCTTCACTATTCTGTTTTGCTTGAGACTCGATGGAGTCATCACTTGGAGTTACTGGGCAGTATTTCTTCCACTGTGGATATGGAAATTTATGGTGATAGCTGGTGCTTGTATTGGTAGCTATGTCTGGTGGAGGCATCCACAATATAGGTAATTAATTTTTTCTATAAGTGTCATTATACTGCAAGCAAATCCTACCAACACATACACTCTTTTGCAAAAAAATTGAAGCACCAAGAAGGACTTTTGCGGTCGTGATGAAATTTGGTATGCAAAAATATCTTGATCGAACATGCAAATGATCAAAGTTTCAAGGCAAATGAACAGGAATTGCTATCATAGTGTGCATTTCTAGTGTGCAGTTCACAAAGTATAAAACCACTAACAGAGGTGAAAAATTTATCTTATATAGTACCTTTCTTTATCATACTTAGGAAGTTCTCTAAAAATATGCAAAAATGTAACTTGGTCGCAGGTTTTGATCTTGTATATAAATAAACAAAGAAATATCCGTATGTTTTTTAATATAAATGCGCACATTCAATTTTCAGTGCCCTTCTCATATTATAAATTAGACACGTGGCAGTATGAATGGTTATCCTATGAAATATCCTCATCTATGTTTTTAAATGATTGTTCTATGTAATTGACAGGAGAGCATAGTAAAAACTTGAACATTTATGTCAAAAGGAGGCCCCAAGCTTAAAATTTAAGAATATATAAAAACTATATGCTTCTAGGTCAGGAGCAGAAGATGGGAGATTTCTGTGAATCACTGTTCACAACTGAGAAGTTTGTATACTGTTTAGAAGAGGATATGTCATCATACTGCTCATAGTCATTGTTAAAAAGTTTAAATTTTGATATTATTGATAAGATCTTTTAATAACTTTCTTTTTTTACATTTTTTAGATAGCTTTTATTTTTATATAATGGATATTAAATGTAGCTTAATTCTAAAAAGAAAATAGAAGCAGTCAAGGAATGATGTGCAGTAACCAAAAAATTGAAGAAATAAATGTTTGCTAAATACATAATTATAGGTGAAATAAAAGTATTTTTCTCTGTTTTTTGAGTTCAACTATACAGTACTCTAAAAGGTATTTACATTAAAGAAATTTGTAATATTGTTCAGAATTACATGAAGGTAACTTTGACAATGAGAAGAATGATGTGAAAAATTATCGTAATCCTAATGCAGGTCATTACATTATTTTCAAAGTATTTTGAACAGGAAATCTGCAATGGTAGAAAATTGTATTTAACAGAAATGTTTGCAGTGTCAAGTAAAAGTAGTTGCAAGTAATGCGATGTCAGTAAAAGTAATTACATTAAAATATAAATTACTGTTACATATGAAAGGGGGAATATGTGAATTAGAAAGAAAGCTGTTAATATGACAAATTAGCATGCCTCTTTAATATACATAGGCTATTTTTTTCCAACCTCTGATGGGCTATAAAGAAAAGACAGGTAAATATACGAAAAAAGATTTTATTACCAAAAGTAATGTACAATACAAGTTATTTCTCTACATAATGACCTTGAAGACTGAGGCATTTATTATATCTGTGAACAAGTTTTGCAATACCCATTTCATAAAATGCTCCCACAATGATTGGAAGTGAGTTGTGACAGTTTCTTTGTGCTCCATGTCATTTTGGGAGCACTGTCCCCCAAGCCACTGCTGTACTTCAGGGAAAAGATGAAAGTCACTTGGCACTAGGTGGTTGTTCAAAAATGTCCCATTGAAATTGCTGAAGGAGCCATTGGTTTACACGAGTGCTGTGAGGATGGGCATTGCCGTGGATCAGAGCTATTCCAGAAGTCAGCATGTCCCTTCGTTTGTTTTGAATAGCTCTCTGTAAACATTGCAAAGTTTCACAATATGAATTTGCATTAATTGTTGTTCCAAGCTGCATAAACTCCACAAGCAACACACCTTTTTGGTCCCAAAAAACAGTTGCCATAACCTTACGATTGTTGAAGGTTTGTTTGAATTTTGTGAGTCTCTTTGGAGAATTTGTGTACATCCATTGTTGTGATTGTCATTTCGTTTCAAGTGTGTGATATTGAGCTCGTGTCTCATCACCTGTCACAATGGATTTCAAAAAATCTTCTCCATCAGTATTGTAACGGACATAAACCCTAATGCTTCAACCATTATTGAGTTTTGTGGTCATCAGTTTACATTTGTTGGACCCAGCAAGCACAAACTTTTCTGTAGCGCCACTGTTCAGTAATGATAGAGTACAGGGAAGATCTTGAAACTTCCAGAAATTTCATCAAGAGTTAACTTATGGTGAACCTTTGATTTTCCTTAATTGCTTGGTCCACTCGTTGAACAATGGCTTCTCTAGCGACAGACTTGCAACCTTGACCCCCTTTATCATGCACATCAGTTTGGCCATCTTTAAACTTTTGACACTATAAACGAACAACGCCATCACTCACAAAGCTGTCTCCATATGCTCGACTCATTCTTTGATGAATTTCCACTGTAGTGTTTCCTTCTGCCGACAAGAAACGAATAACAGCTCGCAGTTCACACTTGGTGGGAGAATCAGTAATGACAGCCATGTTTATGTGACTGCAACTCAACAGGAAATGGTATATTGAACTCGCCAGTGACAGAGCATGTGGAAGGGTAGATGCGCAGTCGTCTACTATGCACACCAACCATCTGCCGCATGCCTAGCCATCATACTATGCGATCGGAGGTTGAAAAAAAAAAAACGTAAAAATTTCAAAGGATGAATCAGGCAACCTTAAATGATAAGAGATATGTTATTTAAATCTGTATCCTTTTGTTTCTTCTCTTTTGGTTTTCTTCTGTATTAAACTACAGTTTTAACTTCCTAACAAATTCTATTCTGGGGCTAATATAGGATTATATTTTGTTTATAAAAGTGAATCTTGTTTAATTATTGAGTACTCTTTGTTCTGTTATCAGGACCAGGTCCAGAAATAAATGTATGTATGCATGATTGGATGGATGGATGTGTTCATGTATGTAATGTATATGTGCATGGACATACGTGTCTGTGTGTGTACATACACATATATGCACATGCATACATATATATGCACTTATAGACATGGACTTTTGAATCCGGTCTTGATAACGGAAGAGTACTAATTGTTGCTTTAGACTACGATTTCTTTTACATATATATTAATTTTTTTAGTTATAGTTTTATCTCTTATTTTGTCAGATTTTGCTTAATTTCTGTATTTAATGAATTCAAATATGGCAAATAATTTTGATTTCTTTTGGCTTCTAAAATGCTTAAATGAATTATAAATTATTATGCATCTCAAACTTTTCTCTTTACTTTCAGATCCTGATTTGTAGATTATATGCATTTAAGACAAGTTTATATGTTACATTTTTCTTCACATACAAAGAAATTATATAATAAGTGTTTCTTTACCATCTGATATTTTAAGTATTTCATATGCATATCATTTTTTTTTGATAGAGTTGAAGGAGAAGGGTACATACATTACAAAGCTATGCTAATAAGTGTTGTGTTACAAGTCCTGTTACTGATGTTTGAAGTTCTTGTTTGTGATAAATTAGAGAACAACCGCCATTGGTGGATACTTGTATTTGTCCCTTTAATTTTCATATCCATAATTTCGGTTGTTGTATGCATATGGGCAGTTAAACATGATCGTTCATTTGAGGTAAGCTTTCAGATCTATATAATAAATTGTACTTTTAATAATCTATGCTTCTTTATCTTCTTTTTGCTTCTAAATGTAGTAAATTTTTGTAAATTTAATATTAGTTTCTGTTAAGAAGAACAAGAAGCAGTCAGTAGGTAGTTGATGCAATTAGCTAGCTTCATTGTGTTTTTGCATTCTTATCTATTATGTGTAAATTAAATGTGAGCTATGAGTATCCACAACAGCATTTCCTCTCTTAGGTGTATAACCCTTGTGAGCTTTGCATTAACTATAATCAACCAATCAGCTGAGTCATGTCACTGCTTTTGTGTCTTGTTGAATATGATGGAAAATGAAGATCTTTTATGAAAATTAAAAAAGAAAAATGTGTGGAATATGCTTTTCTGGGAATAATGTTGTACTCAGGAGTAGCATGGTTGCGTTCAAAGCACAAGATTTGAAATTGTTGTTAATCACCAACAGGCTAGTTCCTTAACAACATTTCCCAAAAGCAAAATGAAATATATATGAATAATAATGTATTCTCAAACTTTCAAAATCTTGTTCCTTATTTTTCTTGAAATATCATTCATATTTAGTTATCAATGATAAAATTTGATGCTGTAGTCTTATTCTGATTTATAATTTTCAATGAAAAAGTTTTACCACGTCTTTTAAAAGTTATGTTTTTATGTACATTTTTAAAAGTGACATTCCCCCCTCATCTTTTATAATTTTGTTTTTCTTTTGAAATAATCCTGTGAATATGTTTATTTCAACAATTAAATGCATTTGTGAAGCTCAGCATGAGAAAAGTCATGCCCAAATTAGAGTTACTTTTTAAAAAGGCTGTACAGGATGATTCAATATGAATATAGAGATTATAAATGGCTCTAACTATTTAATTGAAAATAATTTATTGATAAGAATTACACAGAATGTAAAAGGAAGTTCAAAATTTTATTTACATACTTTATAAATGTTCTGTGTGGTTCCCTTTGGTATCACGGATAACATCTAATTGGTAGTCCATTTCAAGTCGTTCATTTTGAAGCATATTTAGAGTCGGCAATGAGAGGGCTTTAAAAGTTAGCATTTTGATTTCTGGAATTGTTTTCAGCAAGGGAAGCACACACACAGGGTCTTTCACTAATCCCATACAAAGAAACTCGAGCATCCACAGATCTAGGTGGCCAAGAGCAGAGCACATTGTTGGCATCTCTAGTTCGACTGATCCAATGCATTGGAAGATCTTGGTTTAAAAATGTGCAGAGCTCTATACTCTAGTGTGGATGGGCTCTATCTTGCTGAAAGGTGTAATCTGTAGAATTCCTGTCTAGCTGTGGCATTAGCCATTGCTCAAGCATCTCAAGGTTTGCTGTAATACTTTGCTGAATGTCTTCTGTACAGAGCTATTTTCACTTATGATATGGCTAAAATGAACCAGATTTCTGACCATTTTGTAGTCTAAACTCGCGCATGCGCAGCCTTATGATTCATTCTGCTTGTCCACAACTAACGATGTTTTGAACTTTCTTCTGCATTCTGTATAATTCATATTGATATATTCTTTTCAATAAAATAGTTATAGCTGTCTGTAATTGCTATATTCATTTTGAATCGCTCTGTATGTATATTTTGTGTTTTTTATGACTTTTTCTGTTATGTTGTATTTTTAAAAATTCATTTCTTTTTCTTTTTAATTTAAAATATTTATTTTGCGTTAATTTTCTTTGTTGTACTAATTAATAATTCTAATTAATGATTTTGTAAAAAGTGTATATATAAATTATAGACTTTTTCAAAAGGCTAGAATGTAGATTATGATGTTATTTTAAACTTTAGGCCAAGTTATTATTAAAGGAAAAGTTCTAAAATTTTAATTCCATGTAAACTATTCCTTATTTGATAACAACAGAGGAATAGCCTAGTGAAGAACATTAATACACTGGTAACATAAACTAAAAGAACAATTTTTGAAACTCGTGTATCTTGAATGATTTTGAAGTTAAGAACATTGAACTTGAGCATTATTATTATTATTATTATTATTATTATTTGTAATGCCTAATGTATTTTCAAAACATAGAATTTTCTATTTCTGCAAAAAGGAAATGTAAATAAGAACGTATGAATTATGATATAAAGTTGGTATGGAAAAGTTAATGTCACAACTTTTTATCAATACATTGAAAAAATTAATAAGTTGCATGGTCACCCCTGATGAAATGCAAGCTTCACAGTAATTTTTCTTAGATCAGGGTTGCCATGCTTCCTGGAAAACCGGAAAAAGTCAGGGAATTCGGAAATTGACCAAAAAATTCAGGGGAAAGTCAGGGAATTTAATTGTTTTAGTCAAAATCTGGAAAAGTCAGGGAATTTCATACAACGATCCTGCTAAGGCGAGTTTTGCGCCGACGTCGGAAGAGATCACTTTTTTGGCGAATTGTGTATCACGTGAGTATCATTCGGGCAGCTGCCATAGAACCAATTTTCGCAGCTCCAATTTGATTGTCTTTTTAGAAAGGCAAAGCAAGTTTCCCGCAACTTTTGGTTTCCAGTAACCTCGAGAATTGCATGTGCAGTGCATGAACTAAAGAAAGTACCTGTTCTCGTATAAATCAAAATGGGTTTAATCCTAGTATACGGTACCGTGAAGGTTAGAATTAAAAAAATATGTATTATAAAGATGGAAAACCTCTCTGCAACAGATGTGGCTCGGTTCCATCATAGCAGGAAACAGCTGTGCATGCGCGATATATCTGTCGTCGAAGTTTGAAGGTCACATTATCAAGAGTTCATAAAATGAATATCGTTTAAAATGTCTTTAAACTCTAAAGGAAAAGAAAATATTTTTTGGCACAAGTAAATTAATTCATGGATTAGTTATTTTGAGGGGGGGGAATCTATGAAAGTCCGTTTTTAAAATTATTGCGAAAAATCCAAGAAAAAACGTTCTTTGATAAAACGTTTCTTCTTGGATTTTTCGCAATAATTTAAAAACGGATTTTCGTAGTTTTCTTTTTTGTCAAAGAACGTTTCTTCTTAACACGTGTTTCTCAATTTCCTGTACACATCGCGGAGAAGGAAATTCTGGCCGTTCCGTCGTCAAATCCCTTGGCAAATTTTCCCTCCGCTTTTTACATAGACATTCTTTGGTGAGAATAATCTCCATGTGTGGTACAGCGGGATTTGGCGACATGATGAGCAGTAAACGGGTCATTTTGTTCTTGGTGACAATTTTCAAAATCATGCGAAGGCCGTATCGTATACTAGGATTTTACCGCAAAAACCTTTTTTTTTTTTTTTTTTTTTTTTTTTTTTTTTTTTTTTTTTTCTTTTTAATAAATACCTTGTCATTTTGCAGTAAAATGAAAAAATAGTAATCAATCATCTAGGATAACCATGTAATATAAAACTATATTCGCTAAAATATCATTGATTATTCTAATTAAATTTTAAGTAATTATCTTTATTTTTATGTTATTCATATCATTTAATGTTGCTTCTTCCCTCTAAATTTATTTATCATTAGTAAATAATATTTCCATATTTCAGGAAATTTTCTCTGGCATAATCCTGAAATTAATTCTGGCAGTATTTGATGACATCACGAAATTTAATGCACATATTTTTTTTTCCTTATGTATGCTGCAAAATAAATATAAAATACCTCCTCATTTTTTAGTAAAAAAATATCATTAAATAGATTTCTTTCTTTCGTTTAGCTGCAGAATGTCTGCAAAAAAGCCTTATTTTATTCCAGATTGGGCAGATTCTAATCTCAATTCTTCAGTGGAGAAAACAACTCCTATTATAATTATATTTGTGTTTTCAAGTGTTAAGGTGCCTTTTAAGAATACACCTCACACAAATTAAATTTACCTAAAATCTAACCTAACTTTTAGCATTGCGTTGTGATTTATAAGAACCGGATTAGCCTCGTGTTGAACTGGGGATGATCATGAGTAATAATTAAATAAAACGTACAGTTGTTATCCAATGTATATATCTTAAATTTTATCAAGTTTTTTAAGCGGAAAAGTAAACAAAATTATCAAACAAAGTGTACCAAGAATAATTAAGAATAAATGTCCTCTGGGATTTATTGAATAATTAAGTGAATTTGCTACACAGTACAAGTAATACCATAATTAATTTACCTCTTAGCACAGCCAACGTACATTACGCGGATAGACTGGAATTTTCTCGAAACATACCTGGAAAACCTGGAAAAGTCAGGGAATTGCATTCTTCTGTTTGAGTGGCAACCCTGTTAGATTGTCCAAGAGTTCCTGTTATAGCAATGTGATTTGTGTTGAATAGTGCCTTGAAGCTTCTGGAAGTGCTAGGTGGGGCTACAGTGATGCAAGTCAGTTTCCTAGCGCATCCTATACCATATTCTACTAAGTTAAAATTTGGAGAATATGAGGGCCATTTGATTCTGTTGGATACCATTGTCCTCAAAATAATGTCACTAGTGTAGCACAATGAGAACAAACTTTGTTATTTATTAGGAGATAGTTTTACTGGTTGTATCCCTAAAGAACTTGCTATGAGGATCAAGAACCTCATCTCTGTGTATTTCAACATTCATAATTGCACTTGTAAAAACACGTAGGTCAGTGTGGCTATTCAGAAGGATGCTTTCGCATACCATTATTTCACCACCTTTCTACCGATGCCTTTCACAGATTTTTTAGGCTTATTGCATGCATTTTGTTCCCTGCACATGGTAACATGTCTGATATCAATAAAGATATTACACTTAAACATGATTTTACCAGCTGTGTTGAAATACTATGATAATGCACACATGACTGGCATGGAGTCTCTAGAAATGGAAGCAGTGGAGGGGTAATATGCCTGGTATCACTCTCCAAATAAAAGCAAGACTCATTCAGTGAAGAAAACTTGGTTCCAGTCTGTTTACTCCAGTCATGGTGATATCTGTTCTGCTGCAACTGAGCACATTTCACAATTCATGTTTATGGGATAAAATCATGGGTTTCTACATATACAGCCCTTTTTTATGCAGTTGGTCACTCATGTTACACAGTCAATTACTGATGTACCAGGGGTGGATTAACTGAGTTGTGGCATAACTGGGATTCTGCTGAAGAAAAAGTGCTTTGGTAGAAAAAGTATTATCACAAGAATAATCAGCAGACATATTAGTATGAGAGAGAACAGATGTTGATATGAAGTTTTAGTTGATGACTTTTCAGGCTTATTCCTCCTTCTGACTTTCGCTTTTCCAACATGTTTGTAACAACCAAATTGCAGTTACAAATTTCTTCCTATGTCCTATCCCCTTCCTTCTTACAGCTCATGGAGGTCTCCATGTTACAGCTGATGATATATGGGCTTTTAATTTGATGATACAGTAATTAAAGTTCTGGTTGGTGAATAATTTTTGTACTTTTCTGAAACATAAATTGCTATTTTTATTACTCACTCAGATGCTTCAAGGCAAGGCTTAGATTTTACTTTTTCATTGACAAGCAGTTGTGAATTATTGTAATTACTATTGCTTGCAAAATGTCGGGAAAAAAAAAAAAAAAAGGAAACATCTTGTTCTGTCCATTCATTAAAAGCTTGAAACAGTAAGTAAAGTAGAGAATGGGTCAAGCATAAAATGAGTGTTCTGCAATATGGAGTTGGAGAGCAGACTGTGCGTGATTTATTAAAGAAAAGGATCAACTTATGCAGTTTGTATGTGCATATGATTCTACTGTGGGAATAAAGGAAAGGAACACAATGAAAAAGGCTTACGAGGACTTAGATAAAGCCATGCTAGAGTGGTATAGTCAGCAAAGAGTACAGGGAAGCCCCATGAATGGACTAATTAATGCAGAAAAAACTAAATATTTTTTTTTTTTCAGAAGTTAGAACTTGAATGCAAATTCTGGTCATCAACAAGATGGCTTATGCATTCAAATAACACTGAGTATTCAAGAGCTCGAAGTGCGTGGTGAACTTTTGAGTCAGCAAAAGACTTTAGCAGTCATTTTAAAAACTTGTTTGAGACTGAAAATTTGCTTCTAGAGCAAGTATAAAATGTTGATGAATCAGGGTTATTTGGGAAATGCTTGCCAACAAGAACTCATGTGCCTGGAAAAGAAAGGAATGCTCCTGATCACAAGATCGGTTAATCTCGTGACAATAATGACATGCTTTAATGCTGCAGGAAACCACAAACTGAAACTAGTTGTCATTGGAAAGATTGGGGGGGGGAACAAAGGTCTTTTTTTAAAGGCACAAAAGCAACCAACTTAACCAGTGCCCTATTTTGATCAGAAAAAGGGATGGATGAATAGAATCATATTTCAGCATTGGTTTGATACGAAATTCGTACCTCAGGTGACAGACCTTTTTCAAATTAGAGGGCCTTCCCAAAAGAGCAGTGTTAGTTTTAGACAATGCACCATCCCACTCAAGTGAATTGACATTAAAATTAAGATATGACCAATTTTTGTAAAGTACATGCTGCTTCACGTGACAGCCTTAATATAGCCAATGGACCAAAGTGTTATTGTGTCGGTCAAATGTAACTGCCATTCTGCCATGTTATGTAAATTAATCGAAGAAGATTGTGATCTGAAATCTTTTTTGAAAAGCTTTTCAGTTCTGGATGCTATCTATGAGAGTGCTTCCACATAGCAGAAAGTGAAAACCTCAATGCTGATTAATAAAGCTTGAAGAAAAGTTCTTCTGAACTTGGAAGAACGTGAAAGTTGTTCGCGTTTTGATACAGAGGCACCACCAGCTTATCTTGCTCAGATTGCAAACCATATGCCTGGTGGTGAACATGTGGATGAAGAAAACATTTATGAATGGCTGGAGTGTGATTGCAACTTTCCATCATTCGAAACCCATGCAGTTGAGCAAAGTTGGCAAATTGTTAGTCGTACAAGGGAAAGTAGTTTCAAGTGACAGTGAAGGGAAGGAGGGTAGAGGGTGGCAGTGGTCTGCTGGCATGGAGCTGTACTTTATCACTTCGAGTGCCTTCCAGTCTTTTTGGAAGGACAAGAAGATAGTCTCCCAACTGACAAAATGACACTACGCAAGATTAGATCATCGATCCCAGAGAAAGTCAACTCGGCCAAGAAACAGAAAGCTCTGACCGACCTTTCTTTGCATGAATTTGAACTGTCAGAGTGATAAAGTTTTTTAAATATTTTACTATTTTGTAATTTTTTATGTTGATAAAGTTGATTTGAAATATTATTAAACCAGAGTTCCTGGGGGTAAAAAAAAAAAAAAAAAAAAAAAAAAAACCATACAGGTAAATTGCTTTGTAGTATTTTTCTTTTCATATAACATAATTATTTATCTTGCCTTTTTTCTTTTCTTTTTTTTTTTCTTTTTTTTTTTTCCCTTTTCTTTTCTTTTTTTTTTTTTTTTTTTTTTTTTGGCTTTGGATCGACCGTAATTTTGAGTTAACCATGCATATCTTCCCTATGCAGCTAAATCTGGAGTTGACTGTATCTGCCTAGTTGAGGTTTGGCAGCTGATGCACATTGCCTTACAGTTCAGGCTGGCAAGACAACTGATGCCTTCATTTAACAATCATTGCCAAATAATGATCCTGAGAGTGTTGTGACACTTTTTTTTATCTTGACCTAGTTGTCGGCATATATCCTCTGTGTCTTTAAACCATTTTTAGATTTTTGACTTGACACTTTTGGCTGTGTTTAGGTCTTTGCAGACATTTGTCAGTGTCTACTCTTCTTTTATTCTCCCAGTCACTTGCCATTCTCCCAGTCACAATGTAGCCTAACAACTTTGAAATGAGCCTTGGTATGCACACACAAAAAGTACATGCAAACACTCTACACACACTGATAAATTGGTCTCTTGGTGGCAGTTGGTAGTGAATAGTTTATAAAGTTGTGAATAACTCATTAGTTAAACAATGCCGAGATTGGAGGTATCTTGAATGGAAATGAAATTGTCAACCATTATATTGCTGAGGGGACAGTTTTTAAATTTTTGAAGCCATCCGTTGATATTTATGAAATGCACATTAAAAGTTTATTCTTTATGTTGCAGTTAATTCCCACATATTCTTTTATTTATGTAAAGGTGTAAAGAAATGGAATTAATTAAATACTGCTAAAATTGTTATGAAATAATTATGTTTTATGTATTTTATCTTTCAGCTTGAACTTTTTTGCTCTGTGAATATCCTTCAGTTCATTTTTCTCGCTCTCCGATTAGATGAAATTATTATGTGGAATTGGGTTGTAAGTTCATCACTTATAAATACATATATTTAAAGCCGTGTGTATTAATATATCGTTTGTTGAAATATGTTTGTAGTATGTTTGCTAAATTTTGCATTTCTATCCTGTAATTAATCTAAGAATCTTAATCAGAGTACTATCGATTTAGAATCTGTTGAAAGTTTTCTGAATTATAATGTAACTGTTGTATGTGTGTGTTTTCTTATCCATGTAGCTGCTAATTTCAGGTTTCAAAATATCAGTTTTAAAAAAGTGTGCACATTTTAATGTATAGTACTACTCTAATGTTAAATCTGTTATGATACAGTATGAAAAAAAGAAGTACATAAACTATTACACATAACTGCTCTACAGAAAAAAATTCTTCATCATGAAAATTTTCTTGCAGCTGTCTCCAGGTGTTGGGATATGTTTAAAGAAACATATTATGCAAAAGTTTGCAGCTTCTAGCAAAGGCATATTTGAAAATTGTGATAAAAGGAAAAAGTTAACTTGTTATGCTAAATTGAAGACTTTGTAAAGGATATGAAAATTGGTTTATACATTATGTTGCTTTTTATATCTGGATAGAGTTGTATTTTGTACTGATTTGATTAAATTGATGAAATTGCAAGAAGATTAATTATAGGCCTTCAAAGGGGTGGTTAGTCTTTGCATCATATTGCAATCATGGCTTAAATTTGGAGACTGCGTAGGAGACAGTACTGTGGTTCATTGAATTGAGACTGGAATATCAGTGATACACATCAGTGTGTCAAACATCATGCAGTAGTGGTCACATAATCTACAGATGACAACATTCTGTAAGATGTTTTAGATATACTTCTAACTCGGATACAGAGATGCAGTTCATTTGCTTGGTTGTGCTAGGTGTGCAGTCAAGAAGTTTTGTGTGAAACCTGCCACTAACAGGAAGCCATTGTCATGAAGGTATGGAGTGGTGTCACATTAGTGGTATTTGAGACGAGGAATGGTGTGACCATTATGAAGAGAAGGCGGTGACTCTAAAAACATGATGGCACTTTCCATTTATTGACCTATTGGATTCTAACATGTTATCTGAAAAATATGTTTTAAATATTGCCTATTTAATTAAAATGAGTTTTCAGATAATAAGCGTCATAATTATTTTCATCTTTTAAGTTTTCCAAAGACTTTTTAGTTAGCTTTATAAATAACTGTAACTAAAAGAACTGATGGGCAAATAATTGAGGATTTAAATTAATCTAAGCATAGATTGAAAATTGCTTTGTTAATGGTACATTGGAGAAGGATTCTGAAGTTAACAAGGATTACAATTAATATTTGACTTGTGTTCAAATATTAAATTTATCATAAATCAGGCTCTAAGAAAGTTGTTCAGAAAATATTCCTTTCTGATACATTGAACAGTTAATATGAGTAACATTATTTTTGTCTGAAAAACACTGCAATTATATATATTAAAAAAACTGTATATCATCTTTTATATCACCAGTATATGAAAATACTACCTAAATTAGCTAACAAATGTAATTTAACCATCATTTGAATCAAATTGGAAAAGAATAGAAATCTCTTTTGATCTACGATGAATTATGTTAATTGTTATGAACATTTGTAAAGTTAAACAATTTAGGTTGAAACGTAGCTAAATGTAATGACCAAAAAAAGTTCTAAGCATTCATATTTTTAAACAAATGTACATGGCAGTACTTTTTTTAAAACATAAATTATACAATTTAAATACCAAAAGGAAAATTGTAAAAGTGTAATTTTTAATTACTAGGATAAAATTCCGTAATGCTTTTGAGTTTTTTAAGCTTAGTAAAATTTGAGGTAAAAATCTTTCATCCATTAAAACTTTTGTATAACTTTCTAACCAAATATATGCAAATGTAAAAGTATTTTCATGGCAGTATTTAAAAATAAAGTAATAATAAAAATAATAATAAAAAAAACTATTGAAAGATTGTCAAATTTCATTTCTAAATAGTCCACCATAATTAATATTAATTTAAAAAACATATCATAACAATATCCACTATAGCCTTCTATGAGTATATTGAAATTTGCTTTTATTTAACAATGCATTTTAATCAACATCACTTTGAATATCATCAAATAAAGACAGATCACAGTTCACTAATTTTTTATGCATACTAAAGCATCATACACATTTAAGTGACACTTTTGTAACATGTTTGATTGCATTATGAATGCATTTCTCACTTGAAGCTTTTGTTGACTCTAAAATATCTTGTGCAGTAACAGGAATTTCAGTTCCAGTTACGCGAATTGCAGTATCTGATGATACAAAGCAAATCAAGTGTGTAAACAGTCTATTAAAAATTTAGCCCTTAATATCCATTTATATTTATTAAAACAGCTTTCTTTCAATCATATCTTCACGAAAAGGATTTTTTGCCAACACTTCATTTGTTTGAAATAAATTTAGCGTAAAAAATCAGTGTTATATATAAAATTTGCTTAACGAATTTCCTTGACACCGCTCTTGCTTTGTTGTATTATTTTTCGGAAATTAATGCTGGCATCATCTTTGTTCCAAAGTAATTGGATTTACAATTCAGCACATAATAATGGTGTACATTAATAACAGAGTGAAAAAATGGTCAAACATTAATAACAAAGTGAAAAAATTAACAATGACAAAATTAATACTTAACAGGAATCAAGTGAATACCAAGTAATTAATTGCAAAAATGACGATGACTATAACAATGGCAGTGGATTGAAAGAACGACTTATTCCTGAATTGCTTGATGAGTGTTTTGGTCTTCTTCACAAAAAAATCCAGGGAATGGCACAGTATGATATTCACTCATCATCTTTGTTTTGTCTCAATAATGATCTCTTAAATGAGAGTGGGAAGCGATGTGACAATCAAGCTGATCTTTCTGTCACCATTGAGTTTCATGCAGAATCAGCATAACATTATGGTTTGGCAGCTATTGAGCTGATCATGTTTAGTATGCATAATGATAATACTGATAACATGCTATATTGATGGGGTACTATAAGCAGCTGAACTGCAGTATTTTCTGAGTTTACCAAATGGCATTTTTCAGTGAAATAGTGCACATCCACATCTGTTTAACATTAGCAGGCATCCTTTGCAAAGTGTCTGCATGTGGAACCTTGCTTCATGCAATTTCCAGATCACTCACTAATCAAGAGTTTTTAGCTTTTAGGGTATGATTGGTCATTCCTGGAACATTTATTTTATTTAGTTCAGAATGAAGATGAACTGGGAGTTTTAATCAATAATACATGGCCTATATTATTCTTGGATAGAATTCCAGTATCCGTTTAATCAGTGCTATGTTAATATTAGTTGTATTACCTAGAATTGTAACTAATGTATTCAGTTGCTGTGCCCATGTTTTAAATTAAAATAATTTTTGGAATACACATTTCTCTATCTGTTTGTATAGTTTTGTCTCATTTGATACAGTTATCATGATGGTGTATTTTCTTTGTTAAGCAGTTTAGCAATATGTTTCTTGTTAAGCAAGACTGCAGAAATGTTTATGTATTATTAAAGAAATATGTGTATGTATTGTCTCTAAAATGCATTGTGTTTTATGATGCATTTTCTAAAAGTAATGTATTTTTGAAAAATAGCTCTTTAGAGCTTCCTAAATATCTTGAAGATACGTATTGGAAAATTGCAGCTGTTTTGCATTTTCTATGGAGAAGAAAGGTCTTCCAGCTTGGCATATTCCTGTTTACAATTGTGCTGAAATTCTCGTTTAGAAACGTACTGATAAAATGTTATCTGCTGAATTGCTGTAAGTGAGCATTTAAAAATGTTGTAAAGAAGAGTGTTTTTTTTGGGGGGGGTGGGGGTGGTTACAGAATTTTAAAATGCTACATTGCTATCTCCATATGGCTGATTCTCAGTCTTTAAAAGAATAACTAGATAGATGAAAAACAAAATCTGTACCATTTGTTATTCAATTGATAGAATGTATGGCTAAATATAAATGAAGCAAATTTAAACTGAAAACTAAGACTAAATTGTAGGGAGGTCCCTCATATTGCAGTCATTCATATAAACAAACACAACATACTTTGTAATCTTATAGCACAACTTGCTTTCTTCAGCAGTACATATACTAAAACTTGAGCTAAGCACAACAGTGTGCCACTTTGCCTGCCATATTCTTCAGATTGTAGGCAATCATGGAATGTGATGTTACAAAAGTGGAAAAAACAATTATGTGAAATTAGAACTGTTTACACTTCTTGATCACTCTTGAAAGTTTTGTGGCAATTATCTTTGGAAAGTTTGATTGCTTTATGTGTCTAGATTTCTGAATAATTTTGACCTAAAACATTTCAAATACATTTATCAGGTTCAGGTCTGGAGAGAAGGGATCACCTTGAAAGACATTCAAGATTATCTAGCCATTTTAGACCATTCCACTCCCAACCATGAATTCATTATCTTTAATGTTTTTATATTATATTTATGTTTGTTTCATATTTGTTCAAGTTGTACAGAAGAAGTAAATTATTTTTGTGTTTAACGGGTAAGGGAAATGGAACTTCATGGAACCTACATGATAGGTTTCATAAAGATTTTTTGTTGAAAGTTAGGGAAAAGTTAACTTTATATTGATTTTGGGTTTGTAGAGAAACTATGTATTTTGAGTAAAAATAACATAAAACTTACAGTTGTTTTATTCTTAATTTGTAAAACTAGTAGCAGTTTTAGGTTGAATATTGTTATAAGAAACTTCTGTCCTCCATTTTATTAACAAATATGAGAAGACATGCTGTTTCTAGCATTGTTGTCTTACACATGCAAAATATCTCAGTTGTATTTAAGAAAATTTTATATGGATATGTTCTAGAATTTTACCTTTAGAATGATTCAAGAACTTCTAGGGTAATTTTAATGTGCTGCCAACCAAGGGCATGACATGAGCAGCCTTACTAAAATAATAGTAATCCTGTAATATAAAAAATATGTGAGGTTTGCTCAACATTATAATCTCTAATATGACATATCTTAAGTTTTAACCATTGAAATCTTTCATGCATCCATGATCTCTAATAGCTTAAGATCTCTTTATTTACTTCTTATGGAGCTGTTTTCCATTATTCTGATATAGTAGTCGGTTTCAATCTTAGAATAGCTTTACCAATCTGCATGTGTCTCTCTATAATGCTGTGTTTTGCTGTATTTCAGTGTTTGTTGTATATGTTACGTGGAAATATTTCTTAAGTCATCACATTAGAATTATATCTTGACATTTTTGTTTTCTGTGGTAAATGGGAAAAAAAAGGGGGGGTTACAGTATATTTTCCTCCATCATTATTTTGTCCTGTTTTGTCAATTTATAAATTTATTTCACAGATGATATGTAAAACTTTAAATGTTACAAATGTTTGATTTTTACTGAATATTTTAACAGGTAGTATTTGTTCCCCTTTGGATTGTGATGTGTATGGCTGTTATAGGTGTTTTATATGCTATCATATTTGCAAGTATTTTACTACGCACACCCGAAGTTAGTGTTGAGCAGCGTCGTACAAGTATGCATTCTGCTATATCTTACAGTGTAATAGTGATACCTCTTTTAATATATCTGGTATGTACATTTATTCTGCTTTTTTATGAATTCATTTAGTTTTTATGTTATGTAGTGTTTTTAGTCTTAATTTATGAATTATTTAAGAAAATGCATTCAGAAATTTGGATCATTATTTTTACAGGTATGTCAATTAAAAGATATGATACAACTGTGAACTAATATTATTTTTCTCTCATAATTTAGATGCCCTTCTTTCAGATGTATTTTCAGTTTAGTAGTAGAAATTTAGAAGATGTATTTTCAATTTTCTGCATGAATATTACTTTGGTTTAGGAACTTTGAAAATGACTTGTGCAGAAAGCTAAATTCCAGAGGATGAGCTTAAGTAGCACTTTTACAGCTTCTGAGCTAATTTTGGTACTTACATATTATGCCATCGACCATGAAAATTGGCTATCATAAAACCATGAAAGTTAGTGTAGATCCCGCCAAAGTGGTGCCAACCATTCCTGCCGAATTCTGAACCACACTGTTGTCTGCAACTCTTACAATAAAACATTGGTCTGTGTACAATTCTCAAATAGTCACAGCTGCAGAAGTATTCAACCTGTGTCATTTTTTTAGCTTTGTCAGTTGTATTCAGTTGTTCTTTTCCCTGTTCAACAGATGTTAATTTTCTTGAACAGCTGCAAATGAACTGGAGTGCAATTACAAATATGATTCTACAGCCCCTGAACCATGTAGATTTTTGACTGAATATTCTGCTGTCATAATTTTTCATGCTGCATTGCCATATTTGATCTGTTTTGAAATAAATTACCATATTGTGTCCACTAATACATGCTTATTTCAATGACAGGATCCCATAACTTAGACCATGATGCTCTGCTTATAAATGACATAAAATACTGTAGATTGACATGCTAGAACAACATTTAAACATAAGTAAAAGTACTGGAGATTTTGCAGACTGCTTCATCAGCTTCAGCTGCATGCCTATTTTTAGATACTTGGGTCTCGTCTAGTTTAGGGTGAAAAATATTGACTAAAAAGTGGAAACTTCTTCTACATCCAACTTTGCCAAGAAATTATTTTATGCTTGTCAGTCTGCAAGTGGTCTGGTTCATTTGACAGTATTGAGAATGGATAAGGCTTGAAGGAGCTTTAGAACCGTCATAGTGCAGACAAGTGATGTACTTTAACTCCCGCAGTGGCTGAAATTCTAGCACTATTTTTCTCCCATTGTTTCCTGTTGACAAGTCAGCAGCATAGCTAGAGGTTTTGCCGCTCGGGTCAGTCCCTGAATTTACCGCCGCTCTTGATATGCAAAAAAATAACTAAATGAGATATTAGGAAATAAATTTTATATTTGAAGAAAAATTTTATTTCCAACATTTTAAAATTATAGTAGTATTTTGCTGGTGTTTCCCCACTCAAAACCTTTGATGACATCATAGAAGTGTACATGATTGCTTCAGTTTCTGTAATGTAGACAGACATAAAGAAAGATTTCTTAAATGCATAAACATTTATTGATCTAAAGTACTTTCCAAATGATTTTTATTTAGCAAACGTTTCTGATGATTTTTAATGGCTACAGTAGTTGAGAGATTCAACAGTGCTTACAGTGATTAATAGTATTACAGTATTTGGAACTTTATTCTGAAGATTGTATTTTAGAATATACTGCCAAAATTTAAAAGGACGGGTGTTCCACGCAACACAAGAAACTGCTCTGCTAGCAGTGAGGTAGCTGCTGACTGACTAGCAAACAAAATTATTTTGTTGTGAACTACTGATATGATCCACAAGCAAAAAACTGTAAGGCACAAAGTACCTGAAATTATGACAGGGTATCCCCAAATGCTGTGTACAAACTTGGAGGGGATAGAGAACAATGGAACGAGCCATAATTACATCAGAAAGCATGGATGGAAACTTAACCCTAATGAGATAAACAGATGCAAAAACAGTTAGGCCATAACACAGAATGTAGTGTAAAATGCTTTATTGCACTCACAAATAATAATAATACACAGAAAGCATGATATAAAAGCATCACAGGAAGTGTTCGAAATTGCGGCCATTGGCATTTATGTACGCACAACAACGACGCAGCATGGATTGGTGGACATGTTCGAAAACACCGAGAGTTTAAAGGACCGTAGCAGCAACGATTGATATTCGTGCCACCAAGGTCCATTTCAGAATTGACGGGTGTGTCATACACAAGGCTCTTCATGCCACCCCAAAGAAAAAAATCCGGAGTAGATAAATAAATCGGGGGATCTGGGAGGCCAAGTGACAGGACCACCATGCCCAGTCCACCTGTTTGAAAATGTCCAGTCCAAAGAGTCACGTACACAATTATTATTCTATCCAGACAGCAACTGGAACTGTGGTTTTAATTTTCACATAAGCTATTGATTTCTTAAATTATGGTTATGACAAAATAATGCTAGCACCTGAAATAAATGTAAGTCAGATTTGGTTGAATAGAGCTAATGACTTTCCTCAATCACCCTTTAAGTAAGGCAGTTTTAAAGAATTATCAATTTCCCCTCTTCATTCTCTGAGGGTGTAAATGGTTAGCATATTCAACTGGCAACTGGAAGATCTGTAGTTAAGAGTCTCCACAAGGGAATGGTTGGATTTTCCTTTTTCCTGTTTGAATTATTTATTATTGGATAACTAGACTTACTTAAAATAATATTTTTATAATTATTCATTTACATGGTCACTTATAGTTTTGAATTAACTCTATGAAATTATCAGTAGGGGAAAAAGCCACTTTATTTCCAAAGCAAAAATATTAGCTGACCAATAATTAAGTGCAAAATTCTACTAAATGTTTTCAGATTATGCAAATGAAAAGAAAGACATCAACCTATAAAATCACATATCATTTATGCATATGATTGTCAAAATATGTGCATGTGTGTGTACATCTAACAATGTAATAGAAAACTGTAATAACAAACAGCATCACTTTTCTGTATAAAACTGATAATTATACTATGAATAGTTAATTCTTTTTTTTTTCTTTTGTTCACACATAAACATTTATTTAATATTAATAGATTAAAAAATACCCAATTATTATTCAATTATTCTTTCACTATAATATGATAATAAAAATAGTAATGTAGCTAAAAAATCTTGCTAAAAAATTTTAGTATCCAACAATAAATTATACAGTTATAAATTAAGAATAAAAATGTTTTGTAGACAAATATAATTTCAATCAAATACCAAAGTTTGAACACTGCACAAACCTGATTGATGGCGTGGCAACCGTTTTCCCCACATTTTCTACCAATTCCATTACAACACAGCTTGATGAGGATTTCAAATGCTTCTTTAATATTGAGACTATTTATGCTGGGGTTTGGTGATGATTTTGGCCTTGTCCATTTAATTATTGAGTGCATATGCCTTGCAAAGTATTTGACTGAAGATATTGTTGCCTTCTACTTGTTTGTGGATTTGGAGTTATTGACGACAACATTTGACAAAGAATTGAAACACGATTTATTCACCAGTATTTCATAGGACAGTTCCAAAGACATGTTTACAATCCTCGAAAAACTATGACAAACACGCTAAAACAATGAGCAACACGGCCTTCCGGCTATCAGGCTATAACGGTGAAGACAGCTTCATGACAAAGCACTAGAGTACAGCTCCCGACTTGGTTCGGTCGTTCTTGGAACTCAATGTACTCTCAAATTCTCCATGCTACAGCTCGCTATGCACTTGACGATACACTCTATAGCCTCAACGATGCTCACTCTTGAGGCACTAACTTGCAATACACTGCTACACCACATGCAGGCAGGATTTATGTGGCCTGCCTTTGAGAACATTCTGGGCCAAACCAGTAATAATTTGTTCCAGAATGCTCTCCATCCATGGCATATTGGCAGTTTTGCTGCGAAATGAGTGATTTCGTGATAAATACGGCAACTGTACCTTGTCTTCCCTTTCCATTTTCTGGCAACCCTAAAAATGCCTTGCAGGGAAGCTATCATACCGCGGCTGGGCATTTTGTAACAGTGTCTTATTTTTGTTGATAAACTATTTGGCAGAGAGTTTCGAGACTTTTCTTTGACAGTTTTCATTGCTGGTTTAGATCAGTGGTCGCCAAATTTATGAAGCTTCTGAGCTACCGTACTGTTCTTAAATCGTTACTGTGAGCTATCAACCAAAAGATCTACCAACTTTTTAAAAATAACTCTCCAAACTTACGAAGCTTCTGAGCTACCATACCGTTTTTAAATCCTACTCTGAGCTACCAACAAAAAAATCTACCAACTTTTGAAAAATAACTTACATTTGTTTATTGCCTATAAACTTACATTTCTAGTAAATATGAAATTAATTTTAATTAAACTATATATAACAAAAAGAAACTGAAATTGAAATGTAGTTAGTAATAAATAACAAATTTTATAACAGATTTTTTATGAGACTTATTAACTTTAATGAGTGGATGGAACTCTTTAACTCTTTTTTTTTGAGGGGGGGTCATCAACAGTTTTTTTTTTTTTTTTTTTTTTTTTTTTTTAATGCTGGGAAAGCAGGTAGTAGCTGCCATTTGAATATAGTTGCCTTAGTGTTCATCAGTAAGTTTGTGTTTGTTTCTGTACTTATTTTTAATGAATTTCATACTGAAAAAAGAAATCTCGCACAGATATGAGCCAATATATTGCCTTCATTTTGAGATAAACCCGGACCAAAACTGGGTATTCTTCTTTAGGAACAAAAGGCCAAATATTTTCAGAGCTTGAAGAAAGCGATTTTACAGATGAATCATTTCGAAAACCAATCATTTCCAACTCCAATGCAGCATTGTTTTCTTGAAAATCAAAATGCGCCATAACTAGCATTAATCTCTGTTAAAGGCCATTTTGTAAACTGTGCAACAACTGAAAACCTTTTGAAATCTTGAAATCATTTGTCGAATTCACTTCTCAAATCTGAAACAATTTAAATGTATTGCATGCTGCTGTAATTAGGCATTGAAGACTCTTGCTTGTCAGGGATTTGTTTCAAAT